CCCTCAAAGAGGTATCCACGACGCCACGGGACACCAAGCGATATATACAGTTCCCTAGATCGAAGAAAAAGTTTTGTCTCGTCAACCACCGCAATCGTATCGCGGGGTAGGTAAAGTGTAGACAGTGGTCGCCGAAGCCGTTTCGAAAGGAGCTCCCACCTATTGCCCCAGCCATTTGGCAAGTAAAGGCGAACGGTGCCCTTTGATTGCTCCTCCCAAGAGGCCCGCACCTCCTTCATAAATTCATGCACCACATTCCTATCCCTTGAGAAGAAAACCAACTCCAGTATCTCATCTTCTCTGTCCAGGCGTGAAGATGATTTGTACTGTTTTGAATTGTCCATTGTTCGAGTGATCCAAAGTCGTGTGTTGCCAAATTTCATATAGTGACTCCCAAAACCAGGAACGAATTCACTTCCCGCAACAGACTCGTCACGCTTACCCTCTTCTCCTGACATCTCATCACGAATAGAGATAGGCATGAGGGAGATGTTCCTCGCCCGTCTGCCCTGCGGTTGTCGTCCCATCCAATCCAGAATCATGGCAAATTCCTCTCGGGAAGAGCGAACCTCCAGCGTTAGAAAAAGCATTTCCCTCATCTTCTTAACGAGATGCTCCTTTTGGGAATTAATGACTTCCCAGAGAGCCGTTAAAATCAAAATCATCAACGCCAATGAAGCGGCTTCACGGTTAAAAAAAGTCCCATGATGGGCACCGCTCGATACTGTGCCTGAATGAGAGCCATCTCCCGTGCTTCCGCCAGCAGAGACACGATTGCCATCCGGCGACAAGCGACGCCCTTTTCGACGGTATCTTCCTCCTTTCTCTCCGTTTCGCTCTAATGGCATCGAGGCGCTGCCAGGCGGGGTGTCTCTCTGACGCCCACTCAAAATGGCAAAAAGACCCGTAGGTGATGTCAACAACGCCTGCGGATCGGGAAGCTCCAACGCGCGGCGAGAGTTCTGCAGCACGCTGCCACAGGAAGGAACATGAAACCGACGTGCAACCCCGGAAGAGAGACGCCGCCACATTATAATTGTTTCTCTCGCTACGTCTCCCCCTTGTCTCTCAAACACGCGCATGTAAAGAGAGAGGGGTGCAAAGAAAAGGAAAAAAATTATATCTTTACTGAAACATTCTCTTAAACAATTTTCATTATAACTCTTTTTTGAATACCTTACCCCTCACATTCTGAATTTCGTTTCGACCACCTCCTTTGGTTTTTCCTCACCCAAGCATAACCCTCTCTCCTTATTCTCTCTCACTTTCAATCAAGTGCGCACACACACACATAGAAATCGAACGTCGTTTTAGACCTCGATAATTTTGTACCCATCCTGAAGCTTTGCATGTGGAGAGCCATCGCCACAGTGTGCTATAACAGATCCAACCACCCATGCTGGTTCTCTGTCGACTTCGCAAAGTTCTTTTATGTATCGCTCTGCTGTGCAAAGATCTCCAAATGCCACAAGTAACCCTCCGCTGGTTTCTGCTGAATAGCCTTTAAGCAGTTGATATTTATCAGACATAAGTGTCGATGCCTTTAAAGCCCCCTTGTAGATAGGAAGTGCCTCCAACAAGAGGCACACTTCTTTCTCCTGCGCCACCGCAAGGTTGTGTGCGTGCCCAAGAATACCAAACCCCGTGACATCCGTAGCGCCATGAGCACCGTGTCTTCGCATCAACCTTGCCGCGTTGCGGTTCAAACGTTTCATACTATCTGTCGCGGCATTGTACAGTTCTTCTACCTCTTCCGTGGTCATTTTCCCCTGGATTGTTTCCAAATAAATGGGTGATGGTCGACGCACCCACTGCTTGAGATTCACGGCAATTTGGTTCCCAAGTGGTTTTGTCAGTACAAGCACGTCACCAATGCAAAGCCCGGTTGGTCTTACCATTTCAGGCTCCGTCACGACACTCGTTGCAACGCCGCCAATAAGAGGCCATGGATTCATGACGGTTTGACCTCCGGTCACATCGGACCCTGCCAGACGGACTTGATCAACAAAACCCTTCATTATTTCTCGTGTCGATACCTCACGCTCCATCTCATCCATTTCTGTGCTTGCAGCCAACATCATCAGAACGGTATCACAACGATCAATCCCCATGCTATATAAATCAGAAAGGACGTTGGTAGCAGCAATTTGACCCTGTAAGTATGGATCCTCAACACTTGGAAAAAAAAAATCTGTGGTAGACACCATAAACAGGGGAGCTCCATGCTCATCCTTCTGTAAAAGCTGCACAACGCTGCAATCCATACCAACGTCTTTCTGCCCTGGCGTCGTGGAGACTGCACGAAGCAAAGCCAAAAGTTTGGGCTGCGGCAGCTTGCAGCTACAGCCCTTGAGACGTGTGTAATCGGTGAGCACAAACTCCGGTGGAAGGCCAACGTCAGTGGGATTGAAACGGGGCACTTTTGCTTCATTTTCGTGGGACATTTTTTTTGTTGATCTTCCTTTTATTCTACCCGACTGTTCTCGCTGGTGTGTTGCGTCTCAATTCCAACAAAGAAGAAGGGAGAGAAAGAGAGGAAAAACAAATGAAGACACCCCACAAAAGTTCCAAAAAGAAAAGATAAATGAATATTTATCACAAAGAAGAAGTCCGCAACCAAAAAACAAAAACAAAAACAAAAACAACAAAAATTTAGTTTGAGAACTGTTCAGTCCTTTAGCAGGGCCTCCATGCAAGCCACCTATTGACCTCCGCCTTCGAATAGAAAAAAATCAGAGTTCATCCAAGAATGCCTGCACATCCTCGTCAAGTTGTTCCTCGCGCTCCCGCTTCTCTCCAGGTCTCGGTGCCCCACCATTGTCCTTCTCAACAGAAGATACCCACGTGCGCGGATCATACCTACCCTCTATCTGAGCCATACGTCTCCTATTGTTCTCCCGGAACTCTTGCGCCTCGGGATCGTCGGATAAAATCCACTCAATGCGTTCCATCGCGTGTTGCAAGGCCTGCTCGTTAGGAGCCGTTATACGAGCATGCGGCTCCTCAAGCGCGATGCGTGCGGCGTTGGTACTGGTGTCCTTGAGTGTATTTGTAATGCCGCGCCCCGCAAGCACAATCTTGCACTTTGTCGTCTGTTCCAGCTCTTGGTGTACCAAACCACGGGCGCCCAAAATGGCACCATAGGCACCATTGTCCATCTCCTCCTGTGAGAAGTAGCGCTTACGCACAATCTCCTTTGGTGCCGCCGGATGCGGTCCCATTTCGGCGTTTTGTCGAAGAATATTTGTCAGCTCATCCATCGCCTTTCGTCGCTTCTCTGCAACAATCTCGTCTGGTGTATTTGTTCGCTGTCCATCGCTGTTGTATTCCGGCTCCACAGGAATGTTTAGAAAATAATCCTCGCAGCGCTTCGTCTCAATGAAGCGATTGAGATCAATGGCGAGCACACGGAGAAGGAATGCCCTGAGGAATTGCCCCTCGTCGTAAAGAAGCAACTCTGGAGGAATGTAGTTGGGAATGAGCAGATTTGTGTACCGCTCTTTGCTCCAGCGCGAAGGCCTCGGTTTCGCCTCCATTCTTACTCTTAACAACTCGGCTCCAGAGATAAAAAAACACGCCAAGAAAACAATGGCACAACAATAAAACACGAGAAATATATATATATAAAGAGATCGAAAAATACAAAGTCAGAAATCATTTTAAAAAAAGGCAAGAACTCGGCCCGCTCGACTGTTCCAAAAAAAAAAAAAAAAACCTCTTTTCCCAATTAATTCTGAAGGGGGAAAACTGGATGTTTTTTTTTTCGATCCTTTTCTCCAGTCACTTTTTTGTGAAGTACACTGCGTTACCATCAACCGGTTGAATTTGCAGCGACTCATGCAAACCTCCCAGCGCCCGTGATTGAATAAACTCATCCACCGCTTTTCGGCATCCATCCCAGTAGTTGTAGTCATCCACCTGCACCACGCCTCCCTTTGTTACCATCGGCCACGCAAGTTCCAGGGCACACTTTGTTGACTCGTACCAATCCGCATCTAAATGCATCATAGCAATCCCCTCAGCATGGATCTCCTTCACAACATCGGGCATGGTTTCCTGAAACATGCCTGGAACAACAACTAATTGCTTTTCCACATCAAAGTTTTTGGCAAGACGTCGAACATTATCTTGAAGGGCGCTGCACGTCCCACTCCCCCAAGAAGTTGCCCCCGCAGGGGTACGGAGATCTTTCAAGATGTCAGACGTCGTGGGATCAGGCATACCATCAAAAGTATCCAAGGCGTATACCTTTCGTGAATGCCCACCGTAGTGTGCCGCCACTACTGCGAGCAGCAC